ATCTAGTAATCTAGTAATATAATAAGAAGAACAAAATAAAAGGAAAGGGATAAGAAAGAAAAAAAAGAAAATCAATCATTTTATATCTATGTTTCATTATTAAACGCACTCTTGTTAAGATATCAATAGCGTATTTCAATAATATATTATCTCCTACAGGTTAAGGATATAATGCAAGGAAAGTTATTAAGAGGTGTACACATCTTTTGTACTGCAGTGTACTGTCACTGGGCGGTAATGTATACACAAGACGGATATCGAAGCCTGCCATGGGATCCATCTTTCATATAAAAAATCAATGAAATATTCTGGTCATAGGAAAATAATATGTTAATTATCAAAATTATCAAAATTTATTGCTTCTAACCTCCTCGGATACGAAGCGAACACTGATGCATCTATTCCTGTTTACAAATTCCGCCCAGAGAGAACTGGTTTCCATATATACGCAGAGTAACGCAACTGCAATTAACTTTCCTTGCATGATAACCTTGGTATAGGTTATAAATTTGTATCCTATAACACAATAGAACTTTGATATATTTGGGACTTGGTGTTGAAAGATTCATTTCTTACTAATCCTTTCTTCTGTTTGTATTACTGAAGAATACAAGCAAAAAGTTACTTCTCAAACATATGTATTCTTTTTCAACTCTTTCATTTTTTTAAGTACATAAATAAATAATAGATATTACGCACATACAATTCAAAAAACAAATGTCAGAAGATTATATAATTGCTGTTTTCCAGAATTTTTCTTGTAGAATACATTAAAATTATATTATTCAATGTAAAAGATGTGCATCATGAAATTGGTTTAAATTGTTCATTTAGTGAAAACATAATAAGAAACTAAATCCTGATGCACGATTGGAGAATATGGTTGGTCAGCGCTTTTCATTCAAATAATGCTATTTTGCATTTTGAATGAACCGAGAATAATTTCGAAATTATACTATTAAAGATAATCATAATAATCATAGTAATAATAGTAATAATAATAATAAATAATAATAACTACATATTCTGGGATTGTTTATAAAAAGAAAAGCGGATATGAACATTGTTAAATTATGATCTACTCTAATCTCATTCTGATGTTCCTGACCTTTGAATAGATTCGTTTATTCCTAGGCGAGCCAAAGTTAGAATATTAAACCATTAACACATTTGGAAAAATAAAGGTTTGGAGGATTTGTATGATTTGAAGTAAACTTCTATATATAAATTTGGCTTGGCTGTTTGTCTGTCTGGATGTTTGTTTGTTTGTATCCAAAAACGTCAAAACGGCTGAACCGATCGGGTCCAAATTTTTTGTGGGACATCACGTGACCACAGGGAAGGTTTATGAATGATAAAAATAAAAAAAATTTGTTTAAAGGTTTTTAATTTTGTAAAAAAATTTAAATTCTTGAAAATCCGCGAATATTTTTTTAAATCCGCAAAATTTTTTCTTCTTTGTTTTTAAATGTAAACAAAAAGAACATGTTCGATCACAATTTGAATAGAAGATGGGCGCGAAGCGCCCTAAAAGCCTAGTTAAGATAAAATTTATTTAATTTTTTGCTCCTGTGTTGTTATTGATTTTATCGACATTTTCCTTTTAGGATATTGTATGCTCCACAAGGTGAACTTTTCATTGCATATTTTAAAAGATTTATGTAAAAATATTTCCTGAGATTTTAGAAACCTTCACAGTTTTAACCAGCTTTAAAACATGTATTTTCATAAATACAGCATACAAAGATTCTTAAACCACAATATACTTTAATATTGATTGCGAATTGGATTGTTCCAAAAAAATTGTCCTTAAAGGGTTTCCTGAAAAGAGAACTTTTTGGACAACATCTTTGTAATGTTCAACAGGGTGTAAAAGTTGGTGTAGCATATTGTTCAGGGTATAAATATGTTGTAGCATATTGTTCAGGATATAAAACAAAGTGTAGCATATTGTTCAGGGTATAAATATGTTGTAGCATATTGTTCAGGATATAAAATATAGTGTAGCATATTGTTCAGGGTATAAATATGCTGTAGCATATTGTTCAGGATATAAAACATAGTGTAGCATATTGTTCAAGGTATAAAACATAGTGTAGCATATTGTCCAGGGTATAATACATAGTGTAGCATATTGTCCAGGGTATAAAACATAGTGTAGAATATTGTTTAGGGTATAAAACATGGTGTAGCATATTTTCCAGGGTATACAACACGGTGTAGCATATTGTTCACGGTATAAATATGTTGTAGCATATTGTCTAGGGTATAAAACATGGTGTAGCATATTGTCTAGGGTATAAAACATGGTGTAGCATATTTTCCAGGGTATACAACACGGTGTAGCATATTGTTCACGGTATAAATATGTTGTGGCATATTGTCTAGGGTATAAAACATAATGTAGCATATTGTTCAGGGTATAAATATGTTGTAGCATATTGTCCAGTGTATAAAACATAGTGTAGCATATTGTTCACGGTATAAATATGTTGTAGCATATTGTCTAGGGTATAAAACATGGTGTAGCATATTGTCCAGGGTATAAAACATGGTGTAGCATATTTTCCAGGGTATACAACACGGTGTAGCAAATTGTTCACGGTATAAATATGTTGTAGCATATTGTCTAGGGTATAAAACATAATGTAGCATATTGTTCAGGGTATAAATATGTTGTAGCATATTGTCCAGTGTATAAAACATAGTGTAGCATATTATCCAGTGTATAAATTATAGTGTAGCATATTGTCCAGTGTATAAAATATGGTGTAGCATATGGTCCAGGGTATACAACATGGTGTAGCATATTGTCTAGGGTATACAACATAGTGCAGCATATTGTTCAGGGTATAAATATGTTGTAGCATATTGTTCAGGATATAAAACATAATGTAGCATATTGTTCAGGGTATAATTATGTTGTAGCATATTGTTCAGGATATAAAACATAGTGTAGCATATTGCCTAGTGTATAAATTATAGTGTAGCATATTGTCCAGTGTATAAAACATAGTGTAGCATATTGTTCAGGGTATAAATATGTTGTAGCATATTGTTCAGGATATAAAACATAGTGTAACATATTGTTCAGGGTATAAATATGTTGTAGCATATTGTTCAGGATATAAAACATAGTGTAGCACATTGTTCAGGGTATAAACATAGTGTAGCATATTGTTCAGGGCATAAAACATAGTGTAGCATATTGTCCAGTGTATAAATTATAGTTTATCATATTGTCCACGGTATAATACATAGTGTAGCATATTGTTCAGGGTATAAAACATGGTGTAGCATATTGTCCAGGGTATAAAACATAGTGTAGCATATTGTCCAGGGTATATATTTGTTGTAGCATATTGTCCAGGGTATTAAATATGTAGTAGCATATTCTTCAGTGTATAAAATATATTGTCCAGGGTATAAAACTTGGTGTAGCATATTGTCGGGTATAAAACATGGTGCAGCATATTGTCCAGGGTATAAAACATGGTGTAGCATATTGTCTAGGGTATACAACATGATGTAGCATATTGTCCAGTGTATAAAATATGGTGTAGCATATTGTCCAGGGTATACAACATGATGTAGCATATTGTCTAGGGTATACAACATGGTGTAGCATATTGTCCAGGGCATACAAAATGGTGTAGCATATTGTGTAGGGTATACAACATGGTGTAGCATATTGTCTAGGGTATACAACATGGTGTAGCATATTGTCTAGGGTATACAACATGGTGTAGCATATTGTTCAGGGTATAAATTATAGTGTAGCATATTGTCCAGTGTATAAAATATGTTTTACCTGAACAAGGTTCCAATGACGAGCAGCTTTGACGATCTGATCAGTTACATTACTGCAGGCATCTCCGAATAATATAACCTTCCTTGGTTCCTGGTGAACCATATCAAACAGGGACTTCAACCCAACTCCAGGGTTACACTAAACACAATATATCATTTATGGTAAGCTCATTTAGATAATAAATATTATCCACTCCTCTCTGTTGGCTAATAAATGGTTAGCGAACTTATATGGTTATTGTTATCCACTCCTATCTCTTGGATGATATATGGTTAGGTAACTTATATGCTTATTGTTATCCACTCCTATCTCTTGGATGATGTATGGTAAACTAACTTATATGGTTAATATTATTCACTCCTGTCTTTTTAATAATAATATGGTAAATGCTGTTAATATAGTAATCTTGTAATTTAATAATCAGTAACCTATTAATCTAATAAACTAGTAATCTAGTTATCTAGTAATCTAGTAATCTAGTAATCTAGTAATCTAGTAATCTAGTAATCTAATAAACTAGTAATCTAGTAATCTAGTAATCTAGTAATCTAGTAATCTAGTAATCTAGTAATCTAGGAATCTAGTAATCTAGTAATCTTGTAAACTGGTAATCTAGTAATCTAGTAATCTAGTAATCTAGTAATGTAGTAATCTAGTAATCTTGTAATCTAGTAATCTTGTAATCTAGTAATCTAGTAATCTAGTAATCTTGTAATCTAGTAATCTATTATGCTCTGCGTGAAAATTATATTATGAGCACACGTATTATTTATTAATCTGTCTGTATCCTATTAAACTCTTCTTGTGTTCTATACATCTTCTAGAATAGTATTTATATAAATACATCTAGTCCCAGGGAAATTCAGTAAATAGGATAAAAGGAATTGAGTATTTGCCACAATTTCTAATTTTCTAATCACTATATCTTTGGAACCAAATGTTGCAGACCTTAGATATTTCAAACTTTGAATTCTGTTAGATAAAATAATCTGAGTTTGAAATATCAAAGGTTTACAACATCGGGGGTTCTAAAGATATTGAGGTTTAAATATTTCATTTTGTTCCAAATATTCAATTCTTTTTCATAGAATTCTGTTTTTAAAGCTATATTATTTTATTAAAAAAGTGAAATCTTCCATTTATTAAAGATTTAAAGTAAGCACTTAAAGTAGTTGAAACCAAATAGATGGCAACGTAGAATTTCTACACTCTCAGTATTCCAACGACACAAGTGTCAATTCAGTTTTTGTGTCCGACAAAATTATTAATAACAGTGATAATTTTGGAATAAAGTGCTTATCTTACAGTAAAATAAGTGCAATTTTAAGTATTCTTTATTTTCAGTTTTTACATTTTTTATTAAATTTTGAAAAACATGTCAACACATATATGTGAAAACATGTCAACATATATGTGAAAACATGTCAACACATATATGTGAAAAAATTTGGTTTGCCTTAAATTTGACACTTTTGATGTCGTGTATAATTGGTCCATTTCTCTGCTGCCACCTATTGTACTTGATAATCTATTTGGTTGAAACTATATTTTGATAAAAATATTTCTCATTTACAAAATAGATTGGTCGATTAATTTGAAGTTTGTTAGTTAATTAAAATTTTTGAAGCATTTACAATTTCATTTAACAATACAAACAGAAACTCTGAAGGGTAGATTATGTCTTATATATATATATATATAGATAATCATACCACAAACTCCAATTTTGTAATCATCTTTGTAATTTGATGGTGTAAACCTTAGATATTTCAAGCTTAAATTATTTGATCTAACAGAATTTATGTAATATCTAAGGTCTACGACATTAGTTTTCAAAGATATAGGGACTAGAAAATCAGAGTTTGTAACAAAGACTCAATATGTGTTTAAAAGAAAATGCGTATTGCAATGTTAAAAATCTCGCTTTCATTCAAGTTTAGATCAAAGTATTAAAGAAATAAATATACAGATATTTGCCAGAATACTTTTGATGTTTTTACCAAAGAATTCAGTTTTGCGGGTGACGATATAATGAAACGTAATAATCTTAATGGCATCATATACTTTTTACCAGTGTTCATTAACAACATATATAAAATTTTTGTGAATTAAATATTTACAACGTATTAGGTCTAAAATTAAAGAGTTTAAATTATTGTTTTATTATTTTAGTGAGTATGACGGGAAACAAATTAACGAATATTAAGTTCTAATTTCTATATTTTTATAACATGAACAATATATTGTTCGAATATCCAGAACAATCACTTTAATTCCTGCCCTACCACTATACTGTATATTCTCTTCATTAATCTCTGGTTATTAGCACAGCGTATAATAGGTTCAGCTGGCACTACCCCCCCCCCTCACCTTTCCTCCACATTTATATTAATTGGATAATACCATGCAATTCCATTTATTCTTATGAATTGCCAACATTAAACCTTTCTGCTTTCATACTATCATAAGCGTTTTAAATATATATATGTTTGTATTGATGTATATATACAGAAAAAAATATTCAAACATATACAAAAGGGTGTTCAGAGCGCTTCGCGTCGGTATTTTCTAACTATGTTGTTTTGACTGATACCACTTTCTCTTCGTAAAATGTAAAAAAACTAGGCTTTTAGGGCGCTTCGCGTTCTATTTCAATTTGGAATATAAAACAAAAACCAGGTTCTCAAATGTAAAATTTTGTGGACTTTTCTGTTTAGATTAAAGCTTTTTTCAGGCACAATTTTGTCCACTTTGACCAGCTATTAAAACCTTACTCAAGGACAGACAAGCAAATTTGCTACAAAATAGTTTTAGATATATTAAAGGTTTACACCATCATGTTGCAAAGATTTGAAAAATTACAATAAGGGTTAAAAAACTTGAGTTTGTGGCAAAGATTCAATTCCGGAATATATACAGATATGTAAACTGAAAATATATTTGGTTATTTGGGTGTCTGTATGTTTGTTACCAATGGCTATAGATGGCCAACTCGTAACACAGAAAAAATGTTTCATGGGTTACCAACGATGAGTGGCCGTTGGTCGTTTTCTGCCAAATTTCAGACGATTTTTTAAAAATCGTAGCCAATAGATTAATTGTTTTGACTTTTGAGGTCGTCTTCTGCCAAGTATTGGACGATTTTTAACACTTAAAAAATGGCAGTACGCAGTGGAACACTATTTTAACAAATTAAAGCAAGATGAAACCGCCTGGTTCTTTTTCCAGTATAGATGTACAAGGTTACTGATGACCCAAAACTCTATAAAATTTAACAATCTGAAGGATGAATATTATATTCTGCCCTGAACATGAGGTTCTAACTGATTTAACAAAGAAAGAAACAAGCATACAGTCTAGTTGCAGGGATCCAAACATGTAAGGAAAATACCAAACAATTTCAGTGCAGTCGTCTCTGAAGTCTCATCCTTTGTTGGTAACCCTTTATACATATTTATATATAAAATATTTTCTTCCTGCATAATGCTAATGAATTTCCCTTCTACTGCTACATATTTGTTAAAAACCCAACAAGAATTTTATCATCTAAAGGTTAATCATTAATATTTGATCAGATTTGAATATCTTAACTTTTCTAATATTTATTTAATTCATAGGCAGGAAATACAATCCGAGCTGAACACTTTAGAATTGTGGATATCGAGATCAAAGCTTGATTTTCTCTTCAGATAAATTTAATCTTAAGTTTGTATCAACAAAAGTGTATTTTACTCAATCAATCGAGTGCGGGTCGGGATCAAAAGTTCTAAAGTTTTCTGCTCAGAGCCTGCGATTTAAAAACTTCGGCTCGAGCCGTAATTCCATAAACCCAACTTTAAGACTCGATCTTCGACCCAACTCTGACTACAGCTTGTGTCCCGTGATTTACTGCTGCAAGATCTTCGGCTAGACTTTAGGATTTAGGCCCAATGAAAATAAAACCGACCTTGGTTGGTTTTAGTGGAGAATAAGGCTCAATATTGAATCTTGTTCTCATCAAAACCAACCGTGAAAATTCGCCATATAAAATATTGAACCGGTTTTTGAACTCAACTCTGTAGAAAATAAGATGCCGCTTGAATCCGAAAGCTCCAGCTGTAAACAAGGCCCAACGACAGCTTATAGTTAGACCCGAGCCGTATTTTCCCGAATTTTTTAAATCCCGGGTTCAGGAAAATTATCAAATTTAATAAGTAGATAAAAATGACCAGAGCTGAAAACTTTAGAATGTGATATTCTTAATCCTGATCAGTTACTTAACCTGGAGATTAATAACAAGAGGATAACAAGCATTATTTAATTTCGAGATTAAGAAAAAGAGTGGATCAAACATTAAGCTCGATATCCACCATTCTAAAGTTCCCAGCTCAGAGCTGGAAACATTTGTGCTGGATACTCTTAATCTCGATCACTTTTTTCTCGATATCCATTGCGGTGAAATTTTAATTTCAAAATAAATGCTTAATTTTTTCTTTTCAGGTATTACTCTAGGGTATGATTACCATGCAGGATATCATATAAAGATTAAACTAATCTGCAGATTAACAAAAAATCCAGAGCTTAGAACTTTTGTAATGTGGATATCGAAATTAATGCTCGATCTAGATCTTTTGTTAATCTGTAGATTAATTTATTAATTAATCTTTATTCATTCTTTTCAGCTATTACTCTTGCGGGATATCGAATAAAGAATAAAATAATCTGCAGATTAACAAATGGTCGAGATTGAGCATTAATTACGATATATACATTACAAGAGTTTCCAGCTCTGGATCTTTAGTTAATCTGCAGATTAATTTGATCTTTATTAAATATCCTGCATAGTAATCGTTCTATGTAGAGGAATAACTGAATAAAGAAATTAAGCATTGATCCTCAGATAAAAAGTTCCGCAGGGGATATTAAGAACAAGTGATCGGGATTAAGAGTAACCAGCACAAAAGTTCCCAGCTCTGGTCATTTTCATTTATTCGTTGAAATTGATGTATTACTAGATTCTATTTCTGCTTAATCCACTCTTTCCTCCTCTTTTTGTAAATCCCTAATGGATTCCGACCAATCTCATCATTAGCCGTGCAAAATTTCTAATTTTTCGGCTTCTGGTTGGCTGTTCAAGACTCTGCGTACACCACTCTAATTGGTTGAATTTTATGAACTTTCGTGGATACAGATTAAAATAATCGTAATATTAACAAAAAAGGAAATCAAGCATTGATCTTGATATCCAAAAGTTTTCAGTTCAGATCGAGCATTAATTTCGATATCCATTTTTAAAAAGTTCCCCGCTCAGAGCTGAAAACTTTAGAATAGGATATCCTTAATCCCGATCGGTTAACTAATCTGGAGATTAATAACAAGAGGAGAACAAGCATTATTTAATCTCAAGATTAAGAAAAAGAGTGGATCAAGCACTAATCCCGATATCCACCATTCTAAAGTTCCCAGCTCAGGTATGATTAATACTTACAGCAGTATTATTCCAATGCATTCTAATCCTATTATGAGGTAGAACTACTGGAGATTTATTCACATGTCTGATTGCTAGTTTTACTGCAGGCATCACTCCTTGTCCTATACTGGTCTCCATGTATCCTAGAGAGGTTGGGAAGAACCCGGCAAAGTGCACGTCGTGCTTGTTGTGCCTGTAGGAATGATCCATCAGGAGAACAGGGTTCACACAGATCAGGATCAAAGGATGGATCCATCTTACTCCCTTCATACCCAGATACCTCAACCTCACTCAACCTTTAGCTGAACACTTGTTGATCCATCCTGCTCCAGGGTTCAGGTAAACTCAATTTAGCCTTTCAACCCTCTGCTTTGATCTGTCCTAGAGTTTACACTTATGATATAATCATGGTTAGGCTCTACACTGTACAGTTTGATATCTAGCTTGTTTAGAAATAGATCAGAGTCGTAAGTCACCACAAAGGTTTATCAATGCGGAGACAGGACTGATCGTCTCAAGGGTTGTTGCTTGAATCTCCGGCCTCAAGGCGGTGTAGCCCGCACATTCTCGCAAAATCTCACTTCTTACACCACGCGGTTCCTAGATATACATACACAACCATCCTATACCAGTCTTATAACAGGATACAATAATACATACACAACCATCCTATACCAGTCTTATACCAGGATACAATAATACATACACAACCATCCTATACCAGTCTTATACCAGGATACAATAATACATACACAACCATCCTATACCAGTCTTATACCANGGTTGTGTATGTATATATATATATTAATTACCTGATGGTTGTGTATGTATTTATATATTAATTACCTGATGGTTGTGTATGTATTTATATATTAATTACCTGATGGTAGTGTATGTATATATATATTAATTACCTGATGGTTGTGGATGTATTTATATATTAATTATCCGATGGTTGTGTATGTATATATATATTAATTACCTGATGGTTGTGAATGTATTTAAATATTAATTTTTAATAATTTTGATCTTAAAGAGAAAAGTTTTACACATTATATTCGACTTCAGAAGAGGTATCAAAAAGGCAAAAAATCAAATAAATTAGTAACGTTAAATGTTCAATAAAAAGTATTTATTTGAGATGCTAGAGGTATATATATTTAAAGAGGGAAAAGGGCTAAGACAATACAATATATTAATACTATTTTTCAGTCCTCCGTTTCCCTGAAATGTACGTATTGATTTTAAATTCATAATAATTCATTCATGATAAGTCGTTGGACCGAATTTAATTAATTGAAGAGAGTTTACTGAACTATACAGCGCTCCAATTCATTAGATTTTGTCCTAGGTTTAAAAGTCAAAAGCTAACTCTCATTTCTTATCATTCACTATTATATTTTTATTATTTTTGTTAAAATTTGCATAAAATTCAAATTAAATTCATGAAATTTTTAAATTCTGAAATCTTGACCTCTAATTAGTCGGTTCTCTTTTTAAGATACAAAGGAGCTAATTCACTTGTCTCATCTTTGCGGTATAATCAACAAAAAATCATAAAGGAATTAAGTCTTTGTCACAAACTATGATTTTATAATCTCTATATCTTTGTAATCCAATGCCGTAGACCTTAGATATTTCAAACTATGAATTCTGATAGATGAAAACCTTTTTGGAAATATCAAAGGTTTACACCATCAGGTGGAAAAAATATAGGTATTAGAAAATCAGAGTTTGTTACTAAGACTCAATTCCTTTAAAAGTCTTGAGAAAATATTATCCAAGAAACCAATGTTTTCAAGGATGGTAATGGATACAATTAACCAATGTATCCAAGGATGGTAATGGATACAATTAGCCAATATATCATAGGATGGTAATGGATACAATTAACCAATGTATCCAAGGATGTTAATGGATACAAGTAGCCAATATAACCAAGGATGGTAATGGATACAATTAGCAAATATATCCTAGGATGGTAATGGATACAAGTAGCCAATATATCCAAGGATGGTAATGGATACAATTGATACAATTAGCCAATATATCCAAGAATTGTAATGGACACAAGCCAATATATCCAAGTTATCCAAGACTGGGAATGCATACAAATATACAAGGTATCCAACGTATCCAAGACTAAGTATGGATACAAATCTACAATTTTAGTTTGTTGGATATCGTGTCAGTAATAGTAAAGTTTATGTTGATCTATAGATCTACTTTGTATCAGTGAAAGATAAAATAAATAAACAGGATGGGTTGGAATCCAGACTAGATCTATCTAGATCTATACACTGTAAATTTTGATTCAGATATAATATAATAGATGTTCGATAATAAAAACTTTTGAAAACACTAATTATTCATATTAAATTATTATGTGCAGTTAAAAAAAATGATGTTTTCTTGAATAGCTTGATCACAGCCTTATTTCTGAATAAGATATTTAAAAAAAAGTTTCGTGCGTGAATTTATTCAAAATTAATCATGAGTTGCCATATCTGGCCACCATGGGGCGCACAAGTAGCGCCGTTGTGGTGGGTCTAAAAATGGCGCCAATTCACCCAAATATTAAATAATTTATTCAATAAAGCAGATTAGAAATCACTTGCAAGCAATGTGAATTTAATGTTGGATTCAGAACTTTTGTTTAAAATGATAAAGAAATCGGAAAATTTTATAGTTGCTTGGATTAACAAACTAATTGAACACTTTTATACAATTAACTCGAGAATAGTTTTACGCGATTTTGAATATTGTACACAGACTTTTTTACAGTGTTTACATCTATTGTTCTATTTATTGTTTTCTTTATGTAGAATGCTGGCATACGCTGCACTGCTTTAGGTTTTAATACAATTTATTTCATCTTTAAAGGGAATGTAGACGAATTTTCAAGGGCTTCTACATTTATGAAATGACATTTTAGATTCATAGCGGTCCCTTTAAAACCTTCGCAGATCAAAGATAACGGAAAAACTCTTATTTATCATGTTAACACTCAAAACCAGTTAAGTCGCATGTTTCCTCCGTTAAATACAAAAAAAATAAGTCCGTCATTCTTGATAAGCCAATGGTTGTAAGGATACCGTTGTGAATCAGACAAATCACTTTATGAATCATTATGCCTACTGTCTCTTTAACGAATATATTATTCATTGTTACAAAAAAATGTTGCTTTATTCGCAGAATAAAATCTACATCTGATTTAATCCTAAGTTGATAAGTTTTTCTAAAAATTCAAAAGCAAATTCAAATTTTCTGTAATTCCAGGAACATAGGTGAAGTATAAAACAGCTTGTATCTGCTATTGTGGATAAGATACGTATGCAGAGGCCCTCTTAGAGAACGATTTCTAAACCGCGACTAGGACAGGCATGGGGCCGATCGCGCTGCAGCCATGAGTTATTATTTATAATAACTCATAAAAAAATGTCATGTACATTTTTTAATGAAGGGGGGGGGGGAAATCGTTTTCTAGGAAATTACCCGTATTCACTTTATTTTCAGCTGGAAAACTAATGATATCTTTGTAATTCTTCAGCAGATGAAGAAGGTTTAAAGGGTACCGAACTGAATCGGGCATGCGATTCTACATCTTGAGAGTCCCTTATAGGCTTAGGGTATAGGCTTACGTCGAAAAATATTCGATGGTGATTGCTACTATTCTTACTTCTATCTGTTGCGTCTATAAGGAGAAAATTGTAAAATAAAAAACGACTCATATCGAAGAACGTAGCGTCCAGTCAAATTCAGAAAGTTGCAATTTTTGACTCAGATTGTAAAAAAGATCAATTTAATTCCCATCAAAACATTCAGATATTTCAACCTATAATCATCGAATTTTAATCCCTCTAAAATTACGCCTAAATACTTCACAGTCCTCTTCAACTCTTTAAAAATAATTCCACTGTCATTGTATTTTACTAAATGCATTCGGGTTAAAAGTAATTTTAATTGAATGAGTTTTATGAAGTTTCATTATAAAATTTATATTGTTTTTAAAAAGATAAAATTTCCAGAAGTTGAGTTGGAATCCTGATAACTTTTTCTTGTTTTACCAATTATAACTTTAAAAAAGCCGAAATATGCTTTTATTGCTTAATCTCGTAAATACCTAACTTTTGCAAAACATTAGATAACACAGTATGTAAACAATATGGAAAGAGGCGTATTCAGGGGGGGCTATGGGGACTATGTCCCCCCTGGACCAGTAAAATCTATTTATTTCAGGGGGTTTTACAGGTACCAACAGGTGCTGAGCCCCCCCCTGGAAAGAAAAAAAATTAAGCCCCCTGGACAAATTCCTGAATACGCCCCTGAATATGGAATTTACACTAATTACTAATATTAGAAGTTAAAAAATACTTATTGATAAGAAATCAGAAAGGCTAAAGGGATTGTGCAGAAAGAAATTGAATCTTTGGAACAAACTCAATTTTTCAATCCTTATATCTTTGCAACCTTATGGTGTCTAGCTTTGATATTTAAATCTTAGATTATTTGATCTAAAAGGTTTCATAGTTTGGTGAAATACATTCGGTTGCAAAGATATAAAGATTAGAAAATCAGAGTTTGTGCCAAAGGCTCGATTACTTTGGGTTAAGTGATAAGCTACCTATTATCAAACAGACAAGTCTAAATTTGACTGTGAAGATTTACTTGATTTCTTTTAATTCTGTGACTTAAAATAATGGATATTTCTTATTTTTTTTTTCAAAATTGCCAAACAATTTGATATTTGATATATTTCCCTTAAAAAGGTTAAAGATAATGATTTAAAAAGAATTGAGTCTTTAAAAATATTCTCATCTCTTTCTCTAAGCAAGGTTATGTATACACCTTTTATATTTTAAACTTTGATTATTTAATCTAACAGATATAAGTTTGAAATTTATAAAGTCTACAACATTGAGGTGCAAAGATATAGGGATTATAAAATCAGAGTTTGAGTTTTTTGTTCTTTTCTGAATTGAAAATTTATCAATATTTTCAAATCCTTTGTCAAGACCACACAAATGGAAAATTCAGGAATACATTTTAGAAAGATCATGAAATATTATTAGAATCCATATTTCTAATAATTTTGCAATATTGTTGGGTAAAACCTGGACTAACTGCTACCTCCCAATATTTACCAAATTTAGGGTTTAGGATAATTGTACATCCATGAAACTCTTAGATATTTTATACCATTAATTCTCTGTGCAAAGATAGATATTAGCAAATTTGAGCTTGTGCCAAAAACTCGATTCCTTTTTGAATATTTCATTAGAATTGAAAAAAGTGTTAATTTTATTCAGATGTACAGGTGTTTGTGGAAAAACTATTTACATATTTTCCTTATTGTAAAACATATAGTACTAGCCTTAGAGGGCGCTTCGCGCCCATCTTCTAAATTAATTGTGAACATGTTCTCTTTGTGTACATCGTAAAACAAAACAAAAATAATTCGCGGATTTTCACAAAAAATTTCGCGGATTTTCAAAATTTAAAAAAATTTAATG